AACAACTTCTGCAGGCAAGTTGTTCCACTGATTAATTGTTCTAACTCGTCCTGCTTTTCATTAAACTAGACATACCCAATTCCAGCAACCGTTCTCTATAGGTTTTAGGGAGGAGGGGTGTGCTCTTCCTTTTGCAAATGCTGTAGGGATGCTACATTAAAAAAAAGATCCTACAGTTCTGTGAACAGTTCAAAAGTGTCTGCCACGTTTACAGCATGGAGAAGAATATTGGGTCAAAGAAGAGACTACAAGAGGTCATGTCATAATAACAGTGCAAGGAAGTCCTTATCTATGTGGGAAAATGTCTGGACACAGTGGGGGATAAGCTGGGGTCAGTTTACTATTTCTGTTGGATGGATACCTTCACAGGAACTCGAAACAAAGCTAGCAGAGAAACTTTTGAGACTGATCTGGGAACAGCTAGACTCCTACGACAAAATGCGTGGTGAGATGCCAGCGAATTGGCAGTTTCTCCACAACCGCAGAAGGCCACCCAAAAGGGTCAACGTCCAAGTTCCAGAGTATCTACTTCCAAACATAAGATTTATGCAGGCATCCCCAGCTCACTTCTGCTCACTTGTCTAGATCATTGGCTTTGGTCTCGTAGCTTTTCAGGACCCGTAGAACTTGGACATCTTGGCTCAGGAAGCAAGGTGGAAGAAGACCATGTATTCCCAGCTGGAGCCTCTCTTGAAGGGTGAAAGCCATACCCTAGGATGGAAGAGAGGAATGGGTGTGTTAAAACAATGGAACAGAACAGGGGTGAAATCTAAAATTTGTTACTACCAGTTCTGTGGGCGTGGCTTGGTGGTGGGGGGAATGTGACTGGGTGGGCGTGGCCAATTTAAACTTTTAAAACCATTTTTTCTACAACCTCTTCGGCAAACAGGTTGTAAAAAAATGCTTTCAAAAGGTTCTGACGATCCCAGCTGAGTTGCCTGATCGGCAGAGGCTTTTTTTCTTTTAAATGCCTCTGCCAATCAGGCAATTTAGCTTGGATCGTCAGAGGCATTTAAAAAAAAAACCCTCTGCCAATCAGGCAACTCAGCTGGGATCCTCAGAGGCTTTTAAAAGCCTTTGAGGATCCCAGCTGAGCCGCGCGATCATCAGAGGCTTTTTTTTTTTACTTTTAAAAGCATTTTTTCGGCCGAAGAGGTTGTAGAAAAAATGCTTTTAAAAGTAAAAAAAACCCTCTGATGATTGTCCTGCTCAGCTGGGTATGTGGGGGGCGGGACAGGGATTTTTGCTACCGGTTCTCCAAACCATCCGCCTCCACCACTTCACCCCTGGAACGGAACCCTGTCTCTTAAAAGAAAAAAGTATTACAGATTACCAAATTGAGTGCAAAATTTATGTTGCTAAGCGGGACAGTTGTTCAGTGAGTTTTGCCCCATTTTATGACCTTTCTTGCCACGGTTGTTAAGTGAATCACTGCAGATGTTAAGTTAGTAACGCGGTTGTTAAGTGAATCTGGCTCCCTCATTGACTTTGCATGTTGGAAGTTCGCAAAACGAGATCACGTGACTCTGGGACATTGCAATCATCATAAATATGAACCAGTTGTCAAGCATCCGAATTTTGATCCTACGACCAACGGGGTTGCTGCAACGGTCATGCGGTAAGTCACTTTCTTCAGTGCCGCTGTAACTTCGAACAGCCACTAAATGAATGTTTGTAAGTCGAGGACTAGCTGTATTAGCTTTCTAAATTGGTAAACTCTTGCAAAGAAAGGGATGTTGTAAAGAGCAGTAGCGCAATTGATCTCACCTTCCAAGTTCACTTTAAACTTGTGCAGAAGATCAATTTAAAGCAAAGTAGCTGAGGACAGAGCAACAATGAGTTCTGTAGTTACTGTTCACTAATTTACAGCTGAGGAAGATGTGATTTAAGCAATCCAGCAACTTGGTGTAGCAAACATACAGAACAGAATGTAGGAGCATTGGCAGAATGGTATCTTATATTAATTAGTCCCAACACCAGTGGTGGGATTAAAATAATTTAACAACCAGTTCTCTGCCCTAATGACTGGCTGGGTGGGCGTGGCCATTGTGGGTGTGGCTAGGGGGTGCGACAGGTAGCACCCAGCCTCCTGCATACCCCTGGGAGCAAAGAGGGGCCACGGGGAGGCACCTCCCCCCGAGCCCTGTTTTTGGCCTAGTAGGCCTCCCTGCAGCCTCCTGGGAGCAAAAACGGGCCACGAGGTGGGGGTGTGTGTGCCACACACACCCATGCCCCGTTTTGGGCCACAGGGGGACCATTCTGCACCCCGTGCCCTGTTTTGGCCTACTAGGTCTCCCTGCAGCGAAAACGGGCCATGGGGTGGGGGGGCTGCCGCACAATCTGTGCCCCGTTTTTGGCCTAGTAGGCCTCCCTGCACTTACCTGGGAGCCAAAATGGGGTGCGTGGGGACTCCTGGAAGGGGTGGGGTGGGGTGGGGTCAGCCAGCAATTTAACTACCGGTTCGCCCAAACTGGCCCGAACTGGCTGAAACCCACCACTGCCCAAGACTCTCTGTTTAAAACTCCCGGTATAACCCCAGTGCTGTTTCTACGATGATTGTTAAAAATTTAGTTTAGATTGTTAAAAATCAATCTGGTGATTGATTCTAAGTCAGTGCAATTTTCAATCCCTTTCATCCATAACTGTGCTCCTTGTGGCAGGCAATGTGTTTTTCAAATTTAGGTTTTTCAAATCTTGCCAAGCGATCAATTTGTCCATTATTTATTTCACTTACTTAGTTTATTTATTTGTATCCTGCCTTTATTATTTTTACAAATAACCCAAGGTGGTGAACATATCCAATTCACCTTCCTCCTCCTATTTCCCACACAATAACCCTGTAGGGTGGATTCGGTTGAGGGAGAAGAACTGGCCCAAAGTCACCCAGCTGGCTTTCATGCCTAAGGCGGAACTAGAACTCACAATCTCCTGGTGATTGGCCCAAAGTCACCTAGTTGGCTTTCATGCTTGAGGTGGAACTAGAATGCACCGTCTCCTGGTGATTGGCCCAAAGTTACGCAGCTGGCTTTATTTATTTATTTTATTTTATTTTATTGAATTTCTATACCGCCCTACTCCCGAAGGATTCAGGGCGGTGCACAGCCATGAAATAAAACACATAGATATACAAAATTTAAAATCGAATAAAATGAATTAAATAAATTTGGCTGAATTAATACCCATAATTTAAAATACCCATAATTTTAAAATACATTAAAAATTTAAAATTTACACTTAAAAGGGAGAAGATTTAGGCGAGGCCAGCTTGATGAAATAAAAGCGTCTTCAACTCGCGGCGGAAGGTGCGCAGATCCGGAATCCTCCGTATCTCTGGGGGGAGCTCATGGCTAAGGCAGGACTAGAACTCACAGCCTTTTCCTTTCTAGCCTGGTGCCTTAACCACTAGACCAAACTGGTTCTCTTTCCAACAATACAAAGTGAGATGCATCTGGAAACACTAAAATTTAAGTCCCATTCACAGATTCATTCCCCATATATTGATCACATCCTTGATTAAAAGTGCCTAAAAGTGCCATCACTAAACAGATGATTGTGAGTACAGGTAGGTTATGACGGTGAATGGAATTGTGCAGTAAATCTGGGATCAAAGATGTGGAAAAGGGGATCTGGAGTGCACATAGCTGTGCGCACCTCACATCCATTGGCATACTTTTACACCAAATGTGTCTATTTCGTGCACTACACAATTGTGTAAGCTTGGGAAAAGCTATAATTTCTATAAGACGATGCCAATATCCACCCCAAAGCATATTTTAGCCTTGGAATTTGGATTGCTGTACAGCTCCAGTCCAGGGGTAATAAAATTAGAAACAAGAGAAAACTGAGAAAATATATATATATTGTGCTTCTATGTTAATAGCAAAGATTGGTTTTTATATATAAAAAAAAAGACATTGAAAATATTTCCAAGGCACAGAAAAGAAAGCCAAGCCTGAATAAAAAATATATATATTTTTTTCCAACTTGCCCCAATATATCTCCACATGCTATTTAAGATAGCTGAATTTGTTTGCTGTTATGTGGGAGCCATGAGTCACCCATCCTCCCTTGGTGACTTCCAAAATGGGATGTTTTACATAATGTGCGCGTTTCGTTTTTTAAAAAATTCTCCCCGTTGCAAGAACTTAAATGAAAACAACATTATTTTTGGCAGGAACGTCCTTAATCCACTCCGTTTAGTTACTGCAATGGCTCCAAAAATGACTTTATGTCATTCAAATCTGCCAAGAAAGCAATTTCCTTCTTCCAAAGATTAAGAAATGCAAAAACGTTATTGAAGATAGTAGAGTTTTTGCCAAATTTAAGCAAAAGGTGAGCCAGGAACTCCACCGTACAGTCATCAACGTTTATTTGTTTAAAAGGTTCTTCAGCGATACGCAGCGTTTGATAAGTTAGCCAAACAGCTCCGGGCAAGGAAAGTCTGCAAGATTTCTGGAATTCTCTCCAGATCCTTAATACAGGTAATCCTCAACCCCAACTGAGCCAAATATTTCCGTTGCAAAGCAAGGCAGTTGTTAAGTGAGTTTCGCCCCATTTTATAACATTTCTGCCGCAGTTGTTAAGCGAATCATTTGCAGTTGATAGATGAATCATGCGGTTGTTAAGTGAATCTGGATTCCTCCCATGATCAGAAACAAGCTAAGAAGGTTACAAACTGTGATCACTGGAACCCCAGAGCAGTGCAACTGTCATAAGTGCATGCCAGTTGCCAAGTGTCCGAATTCTGATCACATGACCACGGGAATGCTGCAACGAACGTAAGTGTGAAAACTGGTCCTAAGTCCCTTTATTCAGTTCGTTGTATCTTTGAACGGTCATTAAATGAATGATTGTAAGTGGAGAACTCCTTGTAAATACCTTTGCTCTGATTTATACAATCAGAAAAGAAAAGTGTTAGGGATTTGGAATGAAAGATATGCAGATATTGTCAGGGTTCTAAGTAACATATCCATAGCAAACAGGCAGGCGGGCAATTTCCTCAAAGAATAGGTTTATTGGATATGTCATATTGGCACAGGCTGGTGAAAACCGACTCTGAATATTCCTGCGGTTTTCACCTAATTAAAAGTAAAAGTTTGTCACTTTTTCAAAACGATCAGTCACATGGTCCAATCAGGATACTGTCCAGTTGCTGGGTAACTCCAGTCTCCTCCTTCCGAGCACCTGCAGGAATGACCTTGGGTCCCAAGAGAAAGTATTTTGTTTCGATTACAACACCCCAACTATCTCTATTCCCCCTTCCCTATCCCTCTTCTCCAGTGTGTCAGCGCTGAAGTCTCAAAATGGCCTCAGCTTCAGGTTTGACAGATATATTAAGCCACTGGCCATTTGTGTCTCCCATACGTATCCACTGCAGGAATTAATTTTGGAATATTTTCCTCTGCAGATCCTAACCCTTTTCAAACTCAATCATTCTTCCACCAGCTTCATCGCCGCAATCCACCAGAATTGGTCCTGTTCTGTTTAAGTTTTGGAAATACATTTAGGCAAATAAACAGAGAAAGCCCCACATTGCTTGAGAAAATTTCTTTCCAACATTTCGGAGGTTTGGAAAGAATAACAAAGCATGGAGAACGTGGCTTGTGGGATAGTTTCCAAGCCATTTTCTGATAGCTGCATAGGTGGGATTTTCTCTTGATGGATGATCAGTCTCCTAAATCAGATGTCAACAAGGGATTCCCTTGTGTCCA